TATATATATTTCAATAAAACTGCAGTGTGGGCCATTTTAACTGTAACATTTATAATAGTTGTTCCATACAAATGATGAAGAGCAATGACTGCTGCACACCAATCTGGCTTTCCTGCAACTAAAGTGTGCCCATAGTAAAGCCAGGCTCGGAACACGAAACGGTATCAGTCCAGTAATATCAATTTATTCCCAAAAAGGGATAAAAATAGAATGTTTTGACGTGTTTCGCCTGCACAACTAAGCCTTAGTAGTAGCCATGGCATTTATATTACTGGACTGATCCTATTTCGAGTGCCGATTTACTATGGACACTTGGATTTAAGGCCTAGGTGGAAGCCTCACATGGCACCGAGGTTCCATTAGCGGAAGTGGATGTGTGGAAGTTGAGCTGCTCCATTTCTATCAACTAAAGCGAGCCATGTTGATTTTTTCTTATTCATTCAATAACTTGATTCCCCCATCCACACTAAACAGTGTGGATGGTGGAATCTGCACTGTCGACTAGTCAGCATTCTGACTATGTACAGTCATTGTTAAGTTTATAATCTTCCACCCGGCTCAGTCGATTTTTCAGCCGACCCTTGTTGAACGTGGTGGTGCTTTTAAGGCTACCCACAGCTTGAATTTGAGCTGATTCAGTAGGGATCAAGCAAAATGCAAGCTGTATAAAACTACCTTAAAATTGCTTATTTTTTTACCACTTGTAACAGAAACAGAACACATAGCTTGATATTTGCTTTGGTATCAGTTTTGGTAATGCCTGACTAATAAAATCTTGTGTAAAAGAACTTACCTAAAGTGCCAGGGCTATCTTCAATGCAATCCTTAAGTCCTTCAGTAATTAGTTCTGGCCTGAAAAAAGGAAACCAACATGCTTATGCACAAACTACATTTTCCTACTTAATAATGGAATAATTATGTTGAAGAGACAGAACAGCCCTTAACCAGGTTTTTGAAAAGTATCTCATTTTACAAAGTCATATCTACATAGTGGCAATGAAAACGGAGAAAATATCTACATAGTGCTTCATCCATTTAATATGCATAAGGGTAGGTGGGTTTTAAAACCTTTTTAACACAGAAACTTTCAGTGGGTGGTAGCTGTTTGCTCTAAGTTACCCACTGCTTATTTTTAGATGTAGAATTTAATTTATAAATGTATGCATGCATTTACAATCTAGGCTATACTTTAGAAATCATAGGTACTTGGTTTGACAGTCCCTGCCTCTTTTATCACTCATATGATAATGCCTATTAAGCAACACATGCCCCAATAAATTGAAACCAAAGGACCGTTCTAATTAAACAACTGAGATTATAAGTGAAACCCCCCTTCATAAGAATAGTGATTAAAAAAAAAGGTTATAACGTTAAAATATTAGCAATTTTATGTAATGATTATTTTGAATTTACTTTTTTTTGGGGGGGAGGGGGGGGGGATAGAACTTTTATCTCATTTTAAACATGCATATAAGACAATCCTTCATAAATCATAAGGAGAAGAAGAAGGAAAAGAAAAGGCGATACACAACACACCAAATTACTACACCTTTCTAATACATTTACTTTTTTAGTTGTGTTAACGTAAAAAAAAAAACAGTTTGTGTAAAAAATGGTTTTATTTATCTCTATTGTTAGCCCCTGTTTAGATATAACCTTGTCAGCGTTTACATTTAACATGCAAAATGATAAAATTACTCAGAGTACTTATATACATGAAATGGTTGTCTCCAATTCCAGCTAATTAAAGCAATATAACTGTTCAGCCTATAAACAACTCAATGGGTATAATCAATGCATACATAATCAATGCATACATTTGTCCCAGCCTATCCCCGGGAGAACCACTTATTTCCCCACTGGGTACCACCATCTTGCCTTCCACATAGTATGAGGTGTAGCCAGGCTACAAGTGACACCTCTACCCTTCCTGTAACAATCATTTTCTACTACTCTCTGCTGGAGCTAGGCATACATCAATGACCAGAGGGAGTACTTAGAGATAGAAATAAAGGTTTAGCTACTGACCTATGACAAAAAAGTGAATTTGCAGATCAGCAATAGTGTTGCATGTTTTGGGGGGAAAAGGATTTATGCTCTAAGCATAAATATGCACACTGGGCAATACAATTCTGCATGTTTACACCATATTTGCGTTAAAAATTCTGTACAGTTCACTAGTTGGATCTTGAAGACTATCAACTCGTGTATGGCCAGCATTAAATAATTAAGATTGCAGAAGATTTACCCTTATAGGGTCCATGTGAGCAGAAAATAGCAGAGTACATTTTAGCTTTACCTTTTTATAACAAAGTGAATGTCATTACTATGTTCCAATATCCTCCTGAGTTTTGTGATTCCAAAGCAGTTTGGACGTCGAAATGAAACCCCATCAGGAAGGCCCAAAACGAAGAGATCATCTGGACTCATCAAGAACTTGGAATATGGCACTTTGACAGGATGAGAAGCCCCAATTGCTTTAGCTGTATTTTAATAGCATTACGAGAGGAAAAAGATGATTTGAAAATGTTTATGAATGTTCAACTTATTTAAATAGTAATACTATATAAAATACTTAATTCTGCTTTATTTTAGCTTTCTGTATGTCAAGACTATGAGAAGAAGGCTAGCACCACAGGAAATGTAAGTTCTATTGCACTGCTTCCTGCTGTCAATCTAACGGGTCTGAGCAGAGCAAGCAGAGCTCTACGTTTTATAAGTTTAATAACACTTTCTCAGTGTGATGAAACCGCTTCATGTCCAATCAGCAAGCTGATGATTAACTTAGCTGCATTACTTGCAGTAGAGATCAGCAAGGTCACAGACTTTCAATGCTGACTGGTAGGGATGCAAATACTATATATTCAGATATATCAATTCTACGAAGGGTATGAGAGAAAATGGTCTTGGCTGTATGAATGTTTGAAAAAAATGGATAGTTCTATTTCTTTGATAAAGATTTGGAAGAAATGTTAGAGACCCATGACATTTTGTGGCATATCCAAAAATCAAGGCTAAATATAATTATGCTCAATGAACATGTCACTATATAACAATTAGTAACATAGTTGTAAAAGGGATTATTACACACTGCTTTTACCAACTGATCAATGACAAACAATGATGACTAGAGGTGGAAACCAGCGTTACTGGCTTTTATACTAAGGCACAATGCAAGAGGCTCTAAAATTATATTTCCAGAATATTTAAAGCAGAAAATCAAATCTTAACCCTTGCAGTGAGGCTGCCCCCACACTGCATGGGTTAAGTGCTCACTTGGTCTAGAGAGCTAAAATAAAAAAGTTATACCCACCCAAACTGCAATCCATCCCGGCTTGCTCTTAGACCACTCCTTTCAGCCCCCCCCCCTCCCCTCTGCTCCAGCAGTCTAAGTTCTTGTGAGTCCTCCCGTCCAATACAGGGTATAGGACATGAGGATGCCAAGGGACATACCATCACTGGAGGAAGCTATGTAAGAGTAAGCTGGGATCACGGTTCAGTTGAGTATAATTTTGTTATTTTAACTCCCTAGACAAAATGAGCACTTACCCCTTGCAGTGCAGGAGTAGCCCCACTAAAAGGGTTCAGATTTGATTTGCCCGGAGTTCTGCTTTAAAGAAAACACAGCATGCATTTCTTCCATAATCATCTTACTGTATATGTATACTCTCTAACCGAAGCAGAGGTATTATGCTAAAAAATTATACTTTTTTTTACTTACCATACTTTTTGTTGAACAAATTCTCTACTCTTTTTCTTAATTGTCTGATTATGTCTCCAATCCCTTCTTGCAACAATAAAAAGAAAAAAATATATGATTGATTTATTACAGGTATTTATATAGCGCTGACAATTTTACATAGCGCACATTAACATCAGTCTGTGTCCTCAGGGAGCTTACAATCTAAGGTCCCTATCTCACATGCATACATATAGGGTCAATTTAGACAGGAGCCAATTTACCTACCAGCATGTCTTTGGAATGTGGGAGGAAACCGAAGTACCCGGAGGAAATCCACACAAGCACATGGAGGACATGCATACTCATTGTAGGTAGTGTCCTGGCTGGGATTTGGACCAGACAAACCAGTACTGCAAGGCAGAAGCACTAACCACTACGCTACTGTGCTGCCCCAAATCATAATCAGTTTATCATGTGCAATTCTCAAAAATAACACTGAAATTACTTGCAGCACGTGTGTTTACTGTACAAATTATCTTACATGCTACTAAATTTTGATTCACTTACCCCAATTTTTGTTGATTAATTGTATGTACAAAACATTTCTAAACTATTGCACATAAATACAGGAAGATCCCACATTTTTGTTACTTTGTTACATCTAATACTGTTAGATGTGATAACAGCCCAAGCACACCCATAGTTCTGTATTAACACAATACATTAGGAAAATGTTAATAAGCATTAACGTATAAATAGAAAATAAACGCCTAAAGAGAATGCTACTTAAAGAGAATGTAGATTTATTTTTGCATATATTTACTCTCTTTATAAAACTGAGAACTAAAATATACCATTTTTAAAAAGTTGTATAGTATATTCAAATTCCAAATTTGAAATGTCAGCCAGCAGATGTACTGTCACTCTTGACTTGTTTTAATGTGTTTACTTTTTTGGCTTGTTGTTTATAGAGCTCTGTAACTCAAGCTCATATCACACAGTTGTATGAGTCAAAAGAATGCAACATTCCCCTCCCCCTAGATCCACTAGTTTCAAAATAAGTTTGATTTAATAATGCATTTGAGATCCAACTGGCTAAATACATTTCTACTCAGCAGTGATCTTTCCCATGCATACCTACAATTAGGATCTCTTACATGCTTTTATCTACATTTCTGAAAGCAGTATTAACAATTAGAATTACCATCTATGTGTTTCTCTGCATTGCTGGCGTTTATAGATGGTCCTTTGTCTGAAACTATAAACAAATGGAACATTAGAAGAAATCAATACAAAGACTTCCAGTAACAGAGAAGTAGCCATGCAAAGGAAGATAGAAGATATGAAGAATGTTTAGCTAAACTCTTTTGCACAACTGTAATTTTTTTTCACTCATCCACTTCATAGACTAGTGGTAGTATATCACACAAAACGGAACCTACTGATTATCACCATTCATTCAAATGGTTCTTCAATTTATCTAAAGGGAGTGAGTTCCCGGATTTAAACCCTAAGGCCCCATTCACACTTCTAATGGGGGAAGATCACTGAGTCTCATGAAGTTCCCTGGGATACTCATGCGCTCAGCTACGAGTGGGAGGTGTATAATCCAGTGACAGCTGCCAGTGCCCGCAGCTGTTTGCATGTAATTACACATGCTGTGATTACCTGTGGATAATCACCCCACACATGTCTGTTTACATCTGGCTCCCTATAGACCTAACATGGGTCTGGTTAGCTCAGGTTTGTTATGCATCACAAGATGGAGGGAAAAAAACTGGACAGACAGAAGCCACAACGGTGACATCTGATCCATACTACTCCATTCAGCAGAGGATCTGTTGTACTTCCCTGCTGATCAGAACTGAGAGGCGCCCATATAAAAGGGTCTAGGACGGTTAGGAGTGTACAATATTCCTCTATTCACATTACTTATGTATAGCTCTATGTACTTTTAAATAAAATATTTCTGTTCTGTTTAATTTACTACCACCGTTAGTTATAGCGTCCAATTGGGCTAAATTGGTATGGTAATCTAAGTTTACGTGAGTGTAAAACTTTACTTGGTGAATGAAACAAATAAATATCTGCAAAAATATTTAAGCTTTTATTGTCATTTATAAATTTTATTGAGTTAGTGATCTTCTTTTACCTGCTCCTGTATCCAGCACATAAGTGGTGTTATCTAAATTCACTGGAGTTTTCAGACTGCCAAGCAATTCCTCTGAATTAAACAGATACAAAAATGTATGTATGAATTAAAATTAAGCTGTGGAGGAAAGAGATCACCAAAGTGAAACACATTTTTCTCTGTATGTTAGATAGTAAAACAGGATTATTGTCTTACCTGTAAATTCCTTTTCTTAGAGTACATCACAAGACACAGGGAGATACTTCTTCAACAGATGGGTTATGCAGCTACCTTAAGGTGAGTGTTAATTGGCAAATCAATCAAACCGTATGACAGCCCTGTATTATCCCTCCCACTCCCAGCATGCCTCAGTTTTGTAGCAAGCAGTACAAGAGTGGATGACAGAAAAGGGAGGGGAGGGTCTTGTAATGTACTCCAAGTCATGTCATGTGTCCTGTAATGTACTCCAAGAAACAGATTTTACAGCTAAGACAAAAATCTTGGCTGGATTTTTTTTTCTATTGGCTGACCTCAGTTATTAGTTGTTAATGTACCCAGAATATTACAATACATTTGTGTTCATTAAAACATAAAAAAAATCATCCTGTGCATGGCCAGCTTTACACTGATACTCAGACTCAGATACTCAGTGTCTGTATGCTTTCACTGCCAATGTGCAATGGGTGTAGCCATGGCCTGTAAGCAGCCACCGCCATGCACATATTAGCCACACTAAGTGGATAGTGTAGCTAAACATAAACAAAAAACTTGTGCATCTGTAACCATGTCATTCTATTAAATACTGAATCCATCTTAGCACTGAATATAGAAAAAAATTGCAATGCCTGATGGCTGACACTCTGTCAATGTTTTTTCTGTGTGAATGGAGGCAAAAATGAACATTCTTAATATATTTTGTTTTCAGGTCAAATGCAATATATTGTTATACCGCATTATGGCCACTAGATGGAGCATAGGAAATAAGTATTGGATTCTTCTGCTCCTCCGCTCCATCTAGTGGCCATAGTGTGCTATTTTTTAAATATTACATTTGACCTGAAAAGAAAATATACTAAGAATGCTCACTTTTGCCTCCATTCACACAGAACGAAAATTCACAGAGATTCAAAGGGTAAATGGCTCTGCAAACTGTTTATAAATAAACCCCTTTGTGTCTCTGAGTAAACGTTCCTTGTGATTTAAATGATATAGCTCACACTCTTGCCTATGAATCACAAGTACCTGGCACGGTCACTTGCATGATTTCTTGATCTTCATGCTCCACTTTAATATGTTTTATTCCATTTGGCTCACTTGAAGTCCCTGTTGAATGAATAGGCAAAAAATAGTAATGACTACAGATGACTAACAGAAAACTGGTTGAAATTTTAATATATATATATATAAGAAAAGACAAATCTCCAGCCTGCTTTTGTGTTTACCTGGTTCACATTCCTCTGATATGCTGTTTTTTTCAGGCCTGTAAAATATAGCATATTAATAAGGATGCATAAATCTTAGAGAACAAACCTAGAGGAGGTAACACCCTTAAGCTGGCCATACACCTAACAATGCCTACATCCAATCAGATTGTTCAGGTATTTTGACAACCAGCAGGGCCGACTAGCTGGTTTAGCGTAGATGGAGGAATCTGTTGCACTTTTTCCATCTGACCATAGAAACTCTGCAGAAAATCTATATGTGTATGGCCAGCTTTACTGTGGGTCACACAGAAAGTTTGTTAACTTGCTTCCATACATTTTATATATAGTCAGGCTTGAATAAAATTATACAGACCTTTTAGACAGGACTGGTGTGGACTGTGCAATGCTTGGGTAGTGGCCAGAAATTACTGAGCTGCTCCACACCACACTCAATGCAGCTGCTCAAAAACTTGCATTTTCCCAGAAATGTGTTCACAGAATGCAAAGTTGTTTTAAGAAATGTATTTGGATTTCTACACTGCCCACTTCTGCAATATTTACAGTGAAGCTAAGTGCATGTTATGATTTAGCCACACCCTCTAAATGGTGTTCACTTAGCCACACCCACTGCTCATCACAGCACACTGTGTGCTCTGTTTCTGACCTAACACTATCAGAGTTATTCACAAAAGAATGAAGAGTTTGGAGAAGGCAGGAGAAGTGAATAATCTAGAACAACATAGCTGATTTGGAAAAATTCTCCAATTCAGCTCACTTTCCGAATCAGCTATGTTGTCCTAGATTGTTCACTTCTCCTGCCTTCACCAAACTCTTCACCCTTTTGTGACTAGCCCTGTTTGTCCTTTTTTGCCAATTTCCACTCTTTGGAGGTATGTTCTTAGTTGCAGTGTGGCAGTGGAACTGGCAGTCTCAACTGTTTAAAGGCTTAATTTTGCTTTCAAATGGCAAGCACTCATTGGTCAGCGTGGTTACCTGACCATGCTAACCAATGAGAAGCGCTTCTTGCTCACCAATAAGTGCTTGCCATTTGCCAGCGAAATTTTAAATGCAGAGCGCAAGGTGCGCGGCTGTGTACGGAGTATGGGTAGTACACTGGCACCAGCGGAGAGGAAGGATCGTTGGGATAAAGGTAGGTACAGCAGGGGGGAGAGGCGGTCAGAATGGAGGGTTTCATTCCATTTTACCAAATTAGCCTGGGAAAGTGAAATTACCCTTTAAAAGCCTCGTCTCTGCACAATGAAAATTAGCCTCTCCCTTCTCCTGAAGTCTGTGTTAATTATCAGTTCAAATAGCAGCCAGCATACAATAGACAGTATACAGTTCTCATCAAAAAGCAAAGTTCATAAAATGCAGCACTTAAAAATTCTCATCCTGTACCCACTACAGATGGGTAGCGCATCCATATATGTAGTGGGTACAGGATGCCTCTTTTCCTTCTTTGATGGAATTTTCCTTTTGTGGCTATTGGACAGGATGGGAAGGGAAATGAGACAGAGATTGCAAAAAAAAAAGCTGACATGGGTTATAACCTTCTCTAAAAAAAGTTTTGACTTTAGTTCTACTCTAAAAAAGAACTGAACATAATTCACAAGTGTTAGCAACAATATTTTCTTACAAAGTATAGTGTGACGTATTCTGTTCTATTCTCTAAATACAGTACGTTTTATTCTCACAGTGTGTATTTTTTTCTCTTAGAAGAAAGCAGTGCTTGCAGATCAGAAATGTAACATACTGTGTTCTGGAAAAGAAACTAGCCAATGTATTTATTAAAGCAAGCTGTGATGTGCAGTAACGCATAATAAATGCTATTCAGCTCTTCCTAATCTGATTTAAGTAAACTGAAATCTGCATTTGCTATAGGGCAACCCCTCACAGTTTGTCCCTGCTCTTTTAACCAGCGAATGGCTTCACACCAGAATGCAATGTGTTGCCTTTGTGTGCGTTGCCATGCAGTGATGTGCACTGTGCTGTGTTTTCAAAAGGCTTTATCGGAATTGACTTGGATGGCAAACTGCAGGTCAATGCACCTAAAATGCTGGATGCATGACTTTGCACTTCAAAGCAGCATAGTAAACTCTATTGAAAACCAAGGATTTTCTCTGCACAGGAAAATACATGCCAATGAATCAGGATAAAGCCCATACTGAATAACCCTTTAGATATCAAATGTAATAAAGAAGGAAAGTGTTCTGCAGAAGAGAGTCATCAATGGAGATGCTTCTAAGGGCAACTAGTTATGTAAGCATCATTTCATCACTTGAAAATTAGCAGGTGTGGTGGCATCACTACTTCACTTTGCATCCAGTTTAACAGGCTACATAAAATCAGTAATTCTATCACCAAGTACATATTTTGGAAGCATGTTTCATGGTTTAGGTTCCGTACTCCAAATGTTTTCAGTGTTACAAAAAAAGGAACGGAACATTAAGTCTAGTCAGCTGAAACGCGTACCTACCTACTCCCAAGCATGTCCATGGTCGTGATATTCTGGACATCACTACCGGCCTCTTCTCCCAGGGAGTTGGATTCAGATTTTGATGTTTCTTTGGTAAATTTAGCACCTGGTTATGTTAGTTTTATCATTCAGAACATTTACATTTCAAAGTGACAAGACATCAATAAAAGAAAAAATAAGCAGTTATAAATTAACTATGGACCTGTAGATAAAACATGCAGAAGAAAGAGCTGTTCTTGCTGCCTTCAGTGACTGAATTCCTTTGTGCATACTAATATTTTCTAAAATGCAGTATATGGTGACCAACTTGCATTAGAAGATGCCTCTGATCCCATAAACCAGCTCATACCAGAAGGGGGGCACACTTGCTAACAGAAATCCTTCACAATTCAACAGAAGGGACAGACACTAAAACAAAGATAGAGGGGGGCAAGGTTTATTCTGGGTACAAACCCTGCCCCCCTCTATCTTCATCTTAGTGTCGGCCCCTTCTGTGCTGTGTCCAAGGCATTTCTTTACGGCCAGCTTGTGGAAAAGGTGTGTCTTACAAATCAAGTTACCACAGTGTACCACATTTTGCAGGAGATAGGAGGCTCATCTAGAAATTGAAAAGTGTACACAAGGGCTTACTGATGCTTTCAATAACTGTATGAATGCTGTATGGTAATCCTGTTGGACAAAGGGACTTTGCTAATGTGTATCAGTATAACTGAACTGCTTCATCAGCTGTTACAGTATTTGAGGATGTGTTCCTATCTGAATTTGAGGTTATGAATGTAAATAGCTCCATTGTCAGAAATATATTGAAAAGAAATGCTACGATTGTAAGAGAATTACGTTGATGCCATTTTCCTCTGTTAAGTAAATGTATAGCTGCGTTTTTCGTCCCTGCTCCATGCTGATGCTGGTCCATCAGTGCTAGCTCAAAAGCATTAAAACTGTCATTTTCAAATCTCATTGGACAAGGCTGAAAATAACTGTCACTTTTTCAAAAATAAGGGGTGTTATCTTGGTGTTTTAGGTTTGTGAATTGAGCCTATTATGTTTTATGTAAGTGTATATTTATGGATTGTAAACAAGAAATACAGGCACATACATACCGTCAAAAATTCTTTGATCGAACATACTGGACAAGGGGAAGAAATAAACATTTATTAGGTTCAGTAAATCTGCAGTGTGCTGTTAAGTCTTTTAATGCACCTTATTACCTTTTGATTTTGAAATGAATACTGTGCCGATCTTCCAGGATTCTCTTGAGTTTTGGCACTCCATAAGTACATGGGCGTTTAAAAGGGATTTTATCGGGTATTCCCATTATCTCTACTGCTTCTGGATGGCAGGCAATTTTTCTGTACGGCACAGGCACCATGTGATCAAGGCCTAATGCTTCAGCTATAACAGAGAATAACTGGAGCATAAATGACAGAAAGCACTGCTCTTAACTGCTAACCACAATCAATACAGGTGACTCTACACGCTTGTTAGTACATAATATACCTCAGCTGATCTTTGCCACTTTGAGGCATATTTAAAGCAGGCAATCTGACATCAACCAAACATTCACGGCAGGTGAATCTTCTTGGTGCATGTTATAAATCACAGTTGATTCAGTAAATGTTTGGTTTAAGTCACATTCACTACTTTATAAAGATGCGCCTTTGTGTTTCCGGTGAACCTAATTGATCTTTAAAGTGTATTTCCACTTTTGCAGCCAAATTGGGATAACATCTATTTTACATTTGTTACATGTTCCTATTCACATAGCAGAAGCGAAAAAATATTTAAAACATGCTTCTTGCAGTTTAAATTGCTTTTACTGGAGTTATATATTTAAGGGTTAACATTTCTACTGGCTTATCTTTCTTTGCAATGTTAGGAGAGGCCATGAGGGGTCTGAGGTGGTTTGTCCATTGTATGTTAAGTGAATGAGAGGAACACAATCCTCAAATTACAGTCCTAAGACTTTCCGCTAGGACACATCACCACGAAGGTGCTGAGAAAAACCTGGAATCGGCCATCTTGTTTGCTGTAACAAAACATCTAAAGGTAAGAAATATATATTTTTATTATTATTTTTCGTTTTTTCTTTATGCTATGTGAATTGGATGACACAGCAAATATATAGAAGGGATTTCTCAAATTTGACTGCAAAACTTGAAAATACACTCTGAGCTTGGAGAAGAGAAAAATGTGGCAAGGTCTATAGCAGGGTTAGGCAAACTTTGGCCTTCCAGCTGTGGTGCAACTACCAATCCCATTAGGCATTGCAAGATTCTGACAGCCACTGGTTTGACTCCCAGAGGCAGAGGCAGATGCATAATGGGATTTGTAGTTTCACCACAGCTGGAGGGCCAGCGTTTGCCTACCCCTTGTCTATAGCATTAACGGGCATTTTACTTAATCGTCAGTTAAACATATTTTGTTTAGCTGCACTCAACATAAACCATAAATACATCTCTGTAAAATAAATGAGCTGTTCACTTAATTCAAAGGGATGATATTATTCAAATTAGTTAAACAACACATTTATTTCCACCGCATCTACATGTCTGTTGTAATACAACTCAATCACACAGATCTAAAGATGTGATATCACACAATGTGCCCCCCTTCCACAGTTCCATCCCTTTTCACTTAGAACACAATCTTTCTTCAGCGCTGCCATACAAATAAGACTATTCTGGGACTTTCCTAAATTGGTAAGGTCATAAGGTGACAAGTGAGGCATAAAGTAATACTATTTCAGTCACAGTTTAAATGTACATCATTGATATAATCTGATCACCGTGGTATATTTTCTCCTCACTTTCCCTTAAAGATATTTATAAAGCTGTAAAAATGACTCCCACCAAACATTTAATGGTGGCGTCATTTAAAACACATGTATCTGTAAGATTCGCCTGCTTTGTCTACTTCATAAATATGTCCCTTAAAGAAGAACTCCAGGATTTGTAAAAATTAACACTTGCAGTGGGGCTACCCCCACACAGCAAGGGTTAGGTGCTGGTTTTGTCTAGGGGCAGAAATAAAAATGTAATATTAACGATTCTTGGTCCCACCTAGCTGCTAGTCCAGTCCCCACAGCCTCTTCTACCCAGGCTCCAGCAGTCTAAACGTCATCACGTTTACTATATGTCTATTAGGCACAAGGACACCAAGGGACAACAGCCGCAGCGGAGGAAGAGAAAGATGAGGGGTCAATGCCGCAGAACCGTGGATCAGGTGAGTATATCTTCTCTATTTTCACCCCTAGAGAAAAACAAGCCCTTTCCTGTGCGGGGGAAGCCCCACTGCAAGGGTTAATTTTTTTTTTAATCCTGAAGTTCTTCTTTAATGTAGCCAGTAAGGATTTAGGAAACTGAAATCTTACTGCATGCTGTAAATTCACTTATCTTTGAAGGTGCCTTAAATATATAGTCCATATACTGTATGTATATCAAAACTAATCAAAAATCAAATACAGATTTGTTTATTCAAATATCAATCATGTATTAAAAAAGTTTAAAAGAAAAAAAGTCCCTTAATCTTTGACTGAGATTATTTCATTTAGGTTTGAATGTATTTTTTTACTGAAAGGCAAATGTAGGAATGCATTAGCTCTCACCATATCTGCTGTTAAACAGGATTTGTACACACTCCCTGAGGGTATTGATATCCTCTGTTTCCTTAATAAAATTGTCCCATTTTTCTACAACAAGAAAAAAATTGAGAAGGAATGTTAAAAGAAAGACCCATTAAGCTTGTACCAGTATATTGAGAAAAATAGCTGCTTCCTACATTCAGCATTATTCATACTGTATATAAAACAAAAAGTTAGTAGTTATTATACGTGCTTAAAACGAATTCTAATAAAGCATAATGAAAGGAATTTCAAAAACTAGAGCAGACACAATCTGGAGGAGTTGTGCATGGCAACCAATCAGCTTCCATCTTTCATTTTCAAAGCTTAACTGAACAAACTGAAGAGAGAAGCTGATTACTATGAGAAACTGCTCCATATTCTATCTACTCCAGTTTTGATAGTTCCCCCCAATGTTCTCATTTGTGGGTGTGCATGCAATCTCAACAACACAAGAAGGTCAATGAGTAAATGGAGAATGGCTGAATGGTTCTGCTGACTATGCAGAAGGGAAGAATTGTTTTTTTTCTTCTCTGTTACTTATCCTACTGATCATTGCATTGACTTGGGAAAGACATGAAATAACCATCCTCCTGCCAATATTTACATTTCCTGAGTTAGGGAGATGAGGACACAGTGAGCAAAGCTAAGGAAGGCAGACACTGGGGCTAGGAAAACATGAGAATCACAAACTTGCTTGGCCAAGGAAGGTGCTATTGTTGGTGGACGAGATAGCGTATTCATCTGGTGTCAGACAGGAATGGATCCAGAGAGCAGTTCATAAAAGGGGACTAGATAGCCCTTCCATATGTATGTGGTTGTATCTACATAAACAGTGCCTGAAATGAAGCTTTGTTTCCTTCTTACCTGTTTTATCATGAACTATTGAGAAAAGGACACGTTTTGAGGCATGGACATTTTGCCTGAGACTGCTGCCAGGTACAGAAGGCTGAGGACCTGGTTACAAAAAAAAAAAAAAAAAATACAATTATTATTGAATATATGATTGTTAATCTATAGCCTCAAATATTGGATTTCAAAATATTTGCACCAAATGGGGTGCTTTCAAGCCCCAATTACTTGTGTAATGTTTCTTCTCCTAATTTTATTACCGGCCAAAAACAAAAAAGAGGATGGCACTAAAACCCCAAATCATGAAAACTGGAACAAATCGCAGGATGGTACAGCAAGACCTTCATAACGTAGCATTTTGTATTCTTCATCTATCAATTAAAGTGTATGTAAACCCTAACAATACTTATTTGCTCCCTCTTGGTTTGTTAAATATACCATTCAAAGTGTTTTGTGATATCTGTTAAATAAATGCAAAAAAAAAAAAAAAATGCTGATTGACATAGAAATCTAGGGAGCTAATAAAGTAGGCTATATACGGCGAAAATTTCGTCTGGTTCTTGATGGCCCAGCCAAAATTTGCAAAGTGGGTGTCCCTGTCGACACCATTTCACCTGGCATCACTCGTTCAGTTGATCAAGAGAAGCAGGTTGCAAAAATTCTTGGCCAATCGGAGCTAGCAGCCAATCAGCTACTGTTCATGCATGCTGGCAGCAGCCAGTGGCAACTGTCAGAATAGAATGGAAGCAGCGGGGGATTTGTCCATCCTGGTGGAAGAATCTGTTATATTTTCCTACTTCAGCCCGCAGGTTGTACAATTATAACTGTGTATACCCAGCTTTTTTCTGTGCACAAAGAGAGGTTATGCTGATAAGGAGGAGGCTGTGTCATCTGTAATTCATCAGAAATAAAGTAGGCAGAACTTACACCGAGTGCTTAGGCTTTCAGAGCAAAAGCAGGAAGGTAGGTTCACACTATATTTCTGGCATATCAATAGTTATTTTCTGTATTTGTGGCATGTTTAAAGGTATAAAAAAGGGAATTTGCATTTATTGCAGAAATGTAAATATGTTTGTTTTATTTTGCCTTGGCGAATGCTTTCACTATAAAACTAAACCATTACCATTTTTGCTTGAATTTTTTTTTTAAAGAGGTCTTAAAAAGCAGCCAGTTTGCAGTTTACTTTTGCATAGAAGGTCACAATTAAAGTATATCTGTAATAAAAGTAATACAGGAGCTGCTAATGCTGAATTTCGTTTAAAAATGCTGGTTGCCTGGCTATTATGCTGACACTCTCTGCTTTAGTACTTTTCTGAGCCACCAATCCATGAACAAGCATGCAGCAGCCCTTATCTGCATACTGTACTTGTTCTGGGTCAGTGACTTCAAAGTATGGAAGCAAACTGGTCTGCATAAAAGCCAGACCAGTTGAATTTTTAGAACGAGAGGTTAGCAGTGGCAGCCTCCATATTTATCTTATGACATGCTTCCTTTAAACTGTTTTTGGTCTAGCAGTCAGGAACAAGAATTTTTTTAAACCATGTAGATCATTTTAGCATCAATGAAATTACAGAAATTTCTCTCGGCACCTGATTTTAGAAAGCCTACACTCTATTGGTACTTCAATTTCAGAAATCTTCATTCTTATACAGTTCCAGTGTCAACCTACTGTGAAAACATGTGTTGTTGAAAGCTGAATTCCACTCTTCTGCTGCTCCTTTACTGCCCAATTAACAGGCTAGGGTGGAGATAAAGCACCACTGCTTTCCTTAAAGTGACATTAAAGTCACAAATCCCCCCCCCCCCCCCCCGCTATACTGCTTTAAGGACTTACCTTAATGCCTGGTTCACACCTGGGCATTTTACAGCGCGTACCTACGCGCTGTAAAACGCTCAACATGTGAAAACCAATAATTGCCTATGGGCATGGTTCCCACCTGGGCGTATTTCAGCACGTAGAAACGTGCTGAAAAACGCCCTACGCCAAAGAAATACAGGAGCTTCTTTGGGGCGTTTTTCCGCGCGTTACCATTTGTATTCCCGTGTGTGGATCGGGGTTAACAAAGCGGTAACCCCGAGCCACACTCTTGAATACAGCAAAATAAGGGGGGAAAAATCATACCGCCAGGGAAACGCGCGTTTCCCTGAACGGAAAAACATGATAAAAAACGAGATGAAAAACGAGCAGAAGAAATACGCTCAGGTGTGAACCCAGCCTTAATGTAGCTTCTTGATCCGACCATCTTCTTCCTTCCACTTAGGAGTTCCTCCAGTGCTGGTGCCCTTCTCTGATCCAGCGCAGACTGCTGTGTCTTCTGTGTCCCACGGTGTCTGTCCAACATGCACCCATTTCTCCTGGCCGAAGATCTTTACTGTGCATGCACCCACCCCATGATCCTGCTCAGCTGTTCAAGAAGCTCCATATCTTCAGATGGGAGCGATGGGAGTTACCTTTTTGGTAACCTTCTTTTTAAATTTTTTTATGTTTTTGCATATATGTACTGCTTGACAGCAGTACATATATGCAACAAAAACGAGAGTTTAATTATACTTTAACTGTACAGAGAAAGTAGTGTCATCCTTTTGGCTGTGTTGTGTGATGGGGCTGTGTAAATCTCAGGACTGAAATGCAAATTCCCTGGCAGGTAAATTAGCTCCCGTACGTGTATTTTATCTTATATATAGATCTTTGCCTGTAGTGCAACGTTAAAGTATGTAGATCTGTAACCATTTAAAGAATGTGCTTTTTCCAAGACCATGATATTGTCCTTACCAGAACATTCTTGGAAGTCCTGCTTCTGTTCTCCTGGTGACATGTGGGTAAGTACCTCATTCACAGGGTTATGTAGAGGGATATTTGATGGGGCCTCCTGTTTTAGTTCCATACAAAGTTGGGTAGGTAGAGGGACATTGTACATGAAGTTTGGTACACCAGATGGATTATCGTGATTTGTTGGTTTGGAGACCTTGGGACTTAGACCTGCATCTGGAACAACTTTTGCTGTGGTAACAGGGGAGCAGTTGAAATCTGAACAAGGCTTTGTGTCTCTGTTTGGTTCTTCAGTTGCTCTATACAGAAAAAGTAGAATAACACAAATAATCAAAATATATAGTACAGTACTACCATGCACGGTTCTCTATTCTCTATAACCAGGGCTAGATCTGTGGGCAGGCCACAATGTTTCAGGTTGATGCCCCTCCAGAAATTAATTCACTGGTACTGTCTCCTATTACTGGTCAGTAAAATTACCACTAACACAGCATGACTTGTACAGGTGTACAACCTAAGAATTTTCTAACAACTATTGGTAGACAAAGTCATAGGCCATCATGCTATAATGTTAGATGTCAGCTTACCTGCAAAGAATAATGTAAGGGAAGCTATACTGCTACGTAGTTTAGGTTCTCTTGCTCATTCTATCACTGTACTAAACAAGCATGAAAACAAAGGTCTTTGCTATATGATATGATGTCACAAAGAGTATTCATGCAGGGAACTGTGGAAATCTAAAGCACGAAGAGAGCCAGGCTTCGGATAGTTTTCACAGTAAATTCATTTGGGAAAAACATCAACACCGCAGACTAAGATAGAAAAAAAGCTGAGTGGAACTCTGAGTCTTGGAGGTCCTGACAAGTTTTGTGAATGTAATACTTTGCTTTCTTGGATTTCTTTAAATTGGACCTTGTAAAATCTGCTCAATTGAATAATGCCCTCCACGAAACACTGTAGTACAATTTAAAATAAAGGCATGTTGGCAAAAAGGCTAGTAAATATACTTACATTACTAGAGGGGGTGGCGTCACCATCCTTTCGGAAAGATCCTTGGCTTTACTGATTCCCCCAAATCTTACAAGAAGATGCTCCAGCACAGTGCAATCAGGGCACTCATCATGTTCTTGCTGAAAGGATGGTGATATCAGCCTGGACTAGGCGTGGACATATGCCTGGGGTAAGATAAGTATATATACCTTTCCCCTACAGGTTTTTATGACTTTATTGCAATATTTTCACATGCTGGTTGTGACTACATAAAGGAACCTTGCTTTTTTATCAGAGGTCAGCTTTATGTATTGCTCTTATTGTGTTCACTACTTATTACCTTTTCAGCTTAAATCGGATACGATGACTGTGCTCTAAAATAAGCATTAGGCTTTTTAGATTATATTCAGAAGGCTTCTGCAAATGGATCCCATCAGGAAAGCCAAGCACCACTAATGAGCCAGGGTCCTTTATAATCTTATCATATGGTACAGGAACAACATTGGACAATCCCATGGCCTCACCTAAAATAAAATAAATATATTATTTCAATTACATACCCACAATGCACCAGATCCGTCTCTCATTAGATGAGCAAGGAAAAACTAACTTGTAGCTCATACATACTGTACTAGGCCAAAGTATCATTAAGATAAAATGCGGTTGCACAGTCCAGCAAGGTTATCATGTTACTACAGCATAAGACATAAGAAAAGTTTAGCTTTTGCCTTTCTAGGTTCATACATGGTACCCTGCACATCATTTGACCTTCCCTATGCATTACATTATTACAGCAGTCTACGCACTACAATTATTGTAATAAGACTTTATTAGATCAAGGATGCTGATACAGCTGCATAGTTAAAATAGAGAAAGATCACTCTCTGGACTGAACTAAGAAACAAAATTGTCTTTAATATTCCTTTCCAGTTAGTCAGTTATGTTGAAATAAACTATACACAAGTATAATTAACAGTTTGAAAATCAGAAAATCAGTTAGTGGATCAAAGAATCTCTTCTTTTATCCTTTTTTAGACAAATAGCAAAGTATCTGTAGGTTTACAAACAGCGGTAACAACATTTACACATACTCAGGGGCGGACTGGGCCGGGGGGCAGGGTGGCAATTGCCCCCCGGGCCTCTCTGATGCCACCCCGAACGGCCCCTTGACCCCCGGCCGCTGTCACCTGCACCCGGCCGACCGCCCTCCGCATCCGACGTGGCTCTGTGAATGGTGCGGCCGCTGCTCCTCAAGGAGGTGCTCGGGAGGCTCCAGCAGGGGGCGCTCTAACATGCCGCATCTACCTGGTACAGCCAGCGCGGATCGCCTCGGTATGCGATCCGGCTGGCTGGATCAGGCAGACGCGGCCCTGTAA